GATCCGCAGCTCTTGCAGGAGCGGTTCACGGCCAAGTGTGAAGCAGCCAGGATGAGGCTCAGTGCCTCCAAATCCGAGGCCATGGTCTTGAGCCGGAAAAGGGTAGAGTGCCTTCTCCGGGTCAGTGGAAAGTATTATACAAAACATTATTTTGAATCAAAATGACAAAAGAAGCATAAAAACACATTGATTGTAACCCAGGTCAAAAAGGACCCACTCACGAAAGACTGTATAGTCAGTCACTCACGCATCAGAGGGTTAACATGCAGAGACTCTCCAGATTGCACAGGGATCAGCCAATGAAGCCGATCGATACCGCCCTCTTCTGGATAGAATTTGCAATAAGACACCAAGGTGCAGCTCATCTAAGAACCGAGTCCCACAGCCTGCCTTGGTATTCCTACTACTCTGTAGATGTTTTCCTGTTCTTCCTGTTTGTTGTTGCAGTAATTACATTTTCAGTTGTCATGACTTTCAGATTGCTTTGTCTTGCCAAATGCTTGAAAGGAAAAACTAATCAAACAAAGAAAAAATGACGAGGTTCCGTGTTGGTCATCATATTATATTTCCTTCATTTAAGCTGACCACATGTTGACTGAATATTTTGTATGATATAAATGTCTTGTTTCAATTAAGTCTTTAATTAAAGACTTGGCTCTATGGATAGAGTAGTCATCTTGCGATTGGAAGGTTGTAGGTTCAATTCCAGCTTCCTCCTGCCACATGTTGATGTGCCCCTGGGCAAGGCACTTAACCCTAAATTGTCTAGGGTTAAGTGCCTACACTATACATATACACTAGAGCTATGTATAAATGTGTGAGTGTGAATGGGTGAATGTGACTCTAGTGTAAAGTGCTTTGAGTGGTCAAAAATGATTGGATAAAGCGCTATATAAGTTCAGTCCATTTACCATTTAAGGGAAGTAAGTACTTCCCGTAAGTCATTATGTACTGTTACACATTTAGTGCAAGATTACTCATCTGTGGCTGCGATAAAAACAAAATATTCAACAACCAGCAATAAATGCCATTTGTCCCAAGATGGAATTACATAAATAATAATTATTAAAGCATTTCAGAATAAGTCATTTAAGAGTTCAAGTTAGTCTTGAAAAATGCAATTACCCAGTTTTCTTTTTCTTAATTTTAAACTTTTCACAACACTAATGGTTGCATAATTTATTTATTTTAACACTGTTGGCTCCAAACTGTACTTTTTCAAAGAATTACATTTTCTTATTCACTTTACAGAAATCAAGTGGACATAGTGAACACTGCAGCCATAGACGTACTAACCAAAACAATATTGCCATCAGCATTCAGTATTTACAGAGCAAAAAGTGAAACACATTGGTAAAATTAAATGATTAAGCACACAACTAGTTGAGCCCATAATTCTTCATAAAGTACAAATAAGTACTCTCCAAAGACAAAACAAAAACAAGAAAAAAAGAACCCATCCCAAAATAGTAGAATTTGCAACATAATTCAAAAGTTTTCATAGAACTTTGAATTTTCACATTTTGTCATTATAAAACAACAAACTTCTATGTATTTCACTGGGTTTTCACGCAGTAGATCATGCAGCGTATATTGATGAACAAGAAGATAAAAGACAGATTTTTTTTAAAATAGAATTCGTATAAATAGAGCAAAAAGTGAAACACATTGGCAAAATTAGATGAATTAAACACACAACTGGTTGAACCCCACAATGCTTAATAAAGTACACATAAGTACTCTCCAATAGACAAATAAAACCCAACAACAAACAACAACAAAATCGTAGAATTTTCATCGTAATACAAAGTTTTCATACAACTTGGAATTTTCACATTTTGTCATGATAAAACAACAAACTTCTTTGTGTTTCACTGGGATTTTATGCAATAGAACATGTGGTGTATATTGATGACCAAGAAGATAAAAGATATTTTTTTGGTGTGTGTCGTTGTGTACAGTCTCCTTCACTCTGTTACAGCTAAATAAAAACCAGTGCAACCAACTTGATCCTGTTATGTAATGAGTAAGCACAGTCCACATGTGTGTACTGTATTTTCCGCACTATAACGCGCACCTTCAATGAAAAGCCTATTTTAAAACTGTTTTCATATATAAGGTACATAGAATAGACACGACAGTACAGGCTGGAGTTACGTTATGTAACCACTAGATGGAGCTCCCCTAAACGGAATGTTAAAACAGTCCGACTCCGGTTGGCGAGGAGAGCCTTCCGGACTGGGCCGGGGCGTGGCCGGACGATGGTCACCTTTCTCCGTTCGCGCACAGCATGTTCGTGGAGAACGTGGTGCTAAATGACCTGCAGACGACCTGATTCTAGATGGTCGGTATTTAGATAGGTCAGTCAAACTTTATTAACAAACCAGCGTTCTGACAACTATCCCAGCATGCACCGCGCGCTTCTTCTACGGGCGAAAATGAAGTCGGCGGCTGCTTACCGTAGTTGCTAGACCTGTTGTGGCTCAATATTGGTCCATATATAAGGCGTACCAGATTATAATGCGAAATGTCGGCTTTTGAGGAAATTGAAGGTTTTTAGGTACGCCTTATAGTGCGGAAAAACAGTAGTTTCACTTCAATGTAAGCAGAGGAAGTTCACAGTGAATTTGACTTCTATAGTAATATCTTAACTTCTTGGCTAGTTTTGCAGCCTCCAATAGATATTACACTGAGTTTCACGATCCATCAGGATGAGAGTAAACATATCTTAAAATGACCCAGTCAATATAGAGACCTAAGTCTAATTTTGAAAATATGTTACAGCTAGAAAATTGATTTTCATAGTCACTGCCAAGCTTGATTGAGTTCAAGTTGTTTTACAAGGAACTGGCACAAAATTAAAACTGGTAGAGACAAACCAATATAAATCCATGTAATGCATACAAAACAATTGTCATTTTAATTTTACTTTACGTTTTTGGACTCATTTGAAATCATGTGACAAAATGTGAAAAGTTCAAGTTGTATGAACAATGCACTGTCTTTGTGGCTAAATCTGTCAGGTCAACACTGTTGCATTGTCCTGGAGTAGCACAACGATGAAATGAAAAAAAAATACATGCATGTAATGGATTTATGCATCACATTCAGGTGAAGTCTTGTTCTGGTGACTTTCATGATGACTTTTGTTGCTTAATGACAGAAGTGGCGTACAGCACACATTAAGTGCTTGTTCCTGCAGATGAATCATCTGTGGTGATAAAACGGGGAGCTGTCAAAATGTATCTGTGCTTCTTTGTTTAGCACTTTTGTATCTGCAGTTATTTTCTAAGATATACTTAAAAGGCAATTTATGCATGTCTTTGAAATGTTTTACATTGGACATATTGAACACAAGGACTGTACAAGTGATGCTAAAACCATTATAAGATACATGGGGTTTAATAGTTTTTGTAATAATACAAGTAATAATTACTAATTCAATCTGTAATTAATATTTTTGAAGAAGAAAGTGATTAAAATCATGTACTGATGTTTAACACATCTAACTCATTATAGAAGTTACAGACTGAAAGTAAATGATGACCTCCTACCTGGGATAACGATGTAAATTCCCTCACATGAGTAATAGGTGGCATCCCCTGTTGTCTCAAAACGCTGTAGATTTCTGATGAAAAAATGTTCAGGTAAAATGCTAGACAACTTTTACTACAGCAAAATAAATATGAGTAAAATAAATTCAGTGTGTTGTCATTTTCATATTTCTGTCACGTCACAAACCTTACTGAGGTTGTCAATGGCTCAGATGCGACAGCAAGTGGCCCTGCAAGTTGGTCCTCGTTTGAAATCCACTCCTTGTTGCTGACAACAGGAACGTTTGCATAAGGAAGGGCATCCGGTATAAAACTTGTGCTAAGTCCATCTGTATGCAGCTGTGGATTGGGGGAGGCTGCTGTGCTGTGGCAACTGCTTGCAAGGAGAAGTCGAAAGGAGAACATCAACAAACACAAACCAGAGAATAACTGTGAGGTGGAAGACAAAATATGCATGATTTTAAGATTTTGTTTCCAATAAACATCTGAATATTACTGAATCAGTAATTTTCAGAACCACATTCCACTGAAGTCACAGCAAGTTTTGGGGATTTGCATCAATCAAATTTACATTGAGAGAAAATCACATTCTTGCAGGTTATTCTTTATAAAATAGCTCAATATCTGTCAGATTAGAGGGAGAATATATTTGAACATTAATTTTTAACACACAAATTAACAATTGGATTTGACCTGTTAATTCTAACATATGAATATTTATATAAGTTGATGGTCTGAGAAGGCTGCATATACCTGCATGTTACATATATTGGATTGTTATTAATAAAACATATAAATATATAAACAGACACATTGATAACAGATCTTATAAAGACTAATTTGCAAACTTACTCTTCGGTCTCCATGCTGAAAGAATTCTCTTGTTCTGATCCTTGAAAGAGGAACATTAAATAAATTGGGGAAAAAATTACAAAAAAACAGCCATCAGTCATTTCAGTGAGATTTTGTACTTATGTTCTTTATCATAAAAAATGTTGAAGAAATTTAAAGCAGGAGAAAATTATGAAAGTTTGGAAACATTCACAATTCAACAGGCTTTGCCTTAAGCATTATAAACTTTGAAAGAGAAAAAAACTATTTCCTTTGCTTATGACATAAAATGTATTTAAATTGAAGCAGATGAGAGAGAATATTTTCCCTGTCAAATCATTATAGGCCTCTTAAAGAATAAATTTTCTAAATAATCTTTTTGTTGTTTCTAACCTACATACCTTCTTGAGGTTCCACATCTGTCGGTGCCAACACATCTGTATTCTGCTGCTCACTATCAAAATGAGAAAATACATAATTCAAACAAAGAGCAAATTCTTTCTTATGTATTACATTTACTTTGTATTCGATCACTGTCTGTTAATTTCTTCCGTCTGCCAACAGGAAGTGCAGCTAAACGAAGACTCACCATTGCTTGTACAAAGCTTTGAAGCAACTTTTGTAAATCATCAATCCCAGACACAGAATGAAAAGCAAAATAAGGAATGTAATTCCACAAGACAAAGCCGCCCATGGGATCAAATCCTCTGAAATACAAATTAAATTTAATGACATACATTTTCAGAGATTTTTTAAGAGGAAAAATGTGGAATGTAAAATACATTGTGGAAAAATTCCCACCTTTGACCTCCAGAATCACCGTATTTATTCCCTGAAGCTCATTCCATTGTTTCTGGAAGCATTTTGACGGCAGCAAAAGGCAACTATATGGACCTGAATCCCTTGAAACGGCACCTTCAATGGTGAAAGAGGCTTCCATCCGAGCAAGATCAAATACTTGTACTTGAAGGATGGTCTCATTCTTCTTCAGGTAGCAGTAGATGAGTTGACAGTTATTGAGAGTGTGCAGGATTTCTGAAAAGGTGCATTTAAACTCAACGTTGCTTCCCTCATTAACTGTGAAGGGTCCAGCTATGGAGAGCTCTGCTGGGATGAAATTGGCTGCATAGCAGTTGGAGAAATTAATAAATGAAAGCAGCTGCATGTGGGATTAACAAGAATTAAAAATACTCACGTATAACCAGAGTCTCAGCAACATCCTGTCCTTTCCTTTCTACATCAGAAGGGTTGTAATTTGTAGTGGAGTACAAGCAGCTGTAATTTCCACTGTGATCAAGATGAACATTAGATATTGTGAAAAGAACATCATCCAAATTTTGCTTCTGATTTGATTTCTGAAATCCTTGTCCATCTTTCAGTAAATAAACATAAAAAGAGGGGTACTTCTTTTGCCCGAACATGCTGCAGGTTACATAAAGGTCACTGCCCTCGCTTATAGTTCTCTGCCGGACCAGGATCTTTACAGGATACAAGTCTACAGAAAAAGACACACAGACAAATGTAGCAACATAACATCTTAAAAGGCATCTTGTTCTGTTAAGAATTGTCATATATTGCGCTCACCTTCTGTCTGGCCAATGACCTGGTTTAGCAAAATGTCTTGAAGACAAAAAGTGTAGAGTCACATCAATGTTCATTGTGCAAAAATAATTAAAATGTAGATTTTGATTCAATCTGCTGTCAGTTTACTTACAGAAAACAAGTATTGTCTTCATCTTCAGCAGGACTCTGACTCGCTCACATAAACCTTCCAATCAGACCTGATGACTTGTTCCTGCACCTACAGACAAAGCAAGCAGGAACTATAATGCATCACTTCCTTATTCGTTGCTGGCCTACTGCATTTCTGCCCATTCTTCTTGCTAAATTTCTCACACTCAGTCAGATTGGATCTGGAAATAAAATTTCAAGTCTAGCAATATTTTTTCTATTGGATTTAGTTCTGCATCTTTTATACCAGTGACAAGGATGAAGGTAGGTAGAGAGGATCGGGAGACATTTTGAGTTTCTTCTTATTGGATTTTGTACGATGACGGCTTCATTTCTGCCATCTTTGATAAGCCACAAAAGAATGCATACTTTACTTCTTACAATTCCTCTCAGCTCCCCAGATCCATTCGTTTCACATGGACCTGAAACACACCTGTACCTTTTTAGTCTGCATCATTAGAAGATTAAACTAAACAATACAGTCTAGACAAAAATAGAGGAATAAGATTAATAAACTCATCTTCACAAGTGAATGACTGGAAAAATACAACACTCTATACAACAAATGAAGGATATGTGAAGTAAGGTTACAACAGCAATGTTAAACCTAGAGCATAACTGTAAAATAAAATTAAATAATTTTTGAATGTTTAACAAGTGGAGAATAAATAAAAGTTCAACCACTACACCACAGCCCCAGTTGTGTTTTTCATGGTTGTTGTGGGTGTGTTTTTTTGTGCAGTGTTAACTTTCTGCCACAATAGCTTTTTGCATGTAGGTCAAAGTCTTTGCTCACCCTATGAGCAGAAAATCTTATGAGAATTACATTGAGGAGTTTCTGGTTGTAATTTGACAGAATGGGTAAAGATGATAAGGGTATGAATGCTGTTCAAAGCTCTGTACCTCATGAACATTTCTTGCCACAGCCACTTAGACTCTTATACATCAAGATCCTTGAGCTTTAAAAGTAATTTTGTTTAGAAGGCAGAAGCCAGACAACAACCATGATACCCTCTGAAACCCATCACACAGTATCTGTGGAAGATCTCATACAGAGCAGCCAAATGAGGAGACTTTATCTGAACTGACTTTGAGTCAAACTTCTATGGGCTATTTGAGTAGGCTGTTTAAAGTTGTTATCATAGTCTTCTTTATCGCAGAGACAGCCATAAGAATCATAAACCACTTACATTTCTTTCTGTCTCTGAATACCTTTTATATTTAGTAGAAGCTCAAAATAAGATACAAAGTTTGTCATAATAAAAAAAAGAAAACCTCTGACCTTTAGAGTCATTTTTTTTTGTCAGACATGCAATTAGAGAGGACTAAATATATTTACAAATGCAAACCACAATCAAAAGTGTTTCTGGTTGACTTTTTTTTTCTTTCCTCTCAGGTCAAATACTATAGATATCATAAAGTCATTTAGAAAGAGAACAAAAAGGTTCTCTCTTTATGCACCAACTTTATCAACATAACATTCTGAGTTTACAGTATTTAGTTGTTAAACATCAGCATTTCCCGTGTGTGTTTGCATGTGAGAAGATAGTACAGCAAAATGTTTCTGTACAAGGAGCAACCAATAGGATAAGTCAGGTGAACTGTAATAACAACCCATGACCACATGATGTCACCCTTTTGGAGCAGTTTGAATCATTGCTTGGGTTTTCATGAACACGTTGTTATTGTTAGGATTTTAATCCTTTATAAATTAAACTAAGTGTGTCTTTCACAGTATTATTTTAATAGCTGTTAAAAAAAACGAGGTTCTTGTAAAGCCTGAAATCTTCCAAAATGAAACTTTTATGTCATTTTATACATAAGCATACTTAAGTAATAAATGAAACAATGTATCATATTTTTTGACACCCTTTGACAAAAATATTACTTCTTGCATCTCTAACACGAATGTGACTCTAACAGAAGAATTTAATTATTTTTCAATAATTCTTTCAAAGAACTGTCTGTACTTTTTTCCCTAATAATCATATTTTTACAAATGTAGTTGTGAATCATTTTGAGTTTTAATAATTTATAACTCCTTGTCCAGAACATCATTACATCTGCGGGCAACATCAGATGTGACGAACAAAATTATTGAAGCTTTAGGTCAGTTACCTCAGAAAGTAATCAGGAGTTATAAAGGTAGCAAATGTGTGGAAAAAAAAACACTTTACTGGTTGACTGGATACCACAAAAAGAAATTTTTGGACATCCAAAGGTGAAACTATTTGTGGCTCACGGAGGAACAAATGGAGTCCAGGAGGCCATTTACCATGGAGTACCAGTAGTGGGTTTACCTGTGTTTCATGACCAGTATGACTATCAACGAAGTACTATCTGAACCATCCTACAGGATTAACAAGAGTTCAGGTCAATAGCGACATCTACTGGTTAGTCTTAAAAAATACAATTCTCTGGTTTTCTTTTTCGTACTGTTAAACTTTCACAGCACTAATGGTTGTAAACAGGAGCGCTGCCAGGAATCGTGGGTCCCCCTGTGCAGCTGCTGTTACAATTTTTTTAGTCTATTTGACCCATAAATAACATCACAATTTTAAAAGCTTGCATCTGCCTTGCTTTCTTTGGTTCAATAATTAGCACAATATTTACTGTTCATGAATTTTACATCCAATAGTCCACATCCAGTATGCAAGTAGGTTGCTTAATTTTTTTTTTCTATTAGTTTTAGATTACTGAAATGACTCTTCCCATGAGCAACAGTCAAAAACAATGGGCAACTACAGATAAAGCAATCCAGACTTCTAAAAATGCTATGTAGTTGCATTTTATTCAAGCTGCAGAACATAACTTTAATATAAAATATGTTATCTCCATATTTGTTAAAGCTGTTATGATGTCGTAGCAGTTTGATATGAGACAGATAATATTTGAAAACAATCTCCTCCATCTTCTTCCTGAATTACAATTACTGGTTAAAGAAATGCACCGTTCTGACCAAAACAACCAATCAGAACTAGTAGGACGCTCTTAGCGCTGTCAATTAGCCTCATTCACTCACTGCTAAATGTGCCAATGGTGGAGAAACAACTTATCATTACAGGACAAATGCTTATTTGTCCTGTAAGGGATGTGGTCAGGAGGGATGTGGGTTAGAGATGCTGCTGACTGACTCATCTGTTGTTAAGTGGTAAAAGGTACAAGGGACAAGTTAAATATATGAATATCTTGGTAATTTTTTTCCTTAATTCATTAAATGCTAGTGAAAAGGAGGCAAATAGTAGTTTGTAGCTAAGCTAATTATGCTAAATGGTTGATAATCTCACAGTCTACTCACCTCTCTTGGAGAAAAACTGGGTTATAAATTAGCACTCTTGCCTTTTTCTCTCTCTCCCTCCCTCTCTCCTTTTGTTGAAAACCTGATTTTATAACTTTTTTAGCAGCATAGTAAGTGCCACAATCATTCGTGTCTTCCACTGTTTGCAGCTGAACAGCGTCACTCTCAAGCGCTCCATACAGGAACAAACCATTGAACACAGATAGGGGGGTTCAGGGCAAATATGGATATGTGTTTTTTTTTTTTTTAATTTAGGGGGGGGAAAAAAATTTTTACTGCTAAAAACAATATTTGAAAATACAATATGATTAATTTTGAAATTGACAGGGCCACAATTTTATTATGTCTATGAACAAATAAGAAATAATTAAATTGTGGAGGGCCCCTTGTTGGTCAGGGCCTCTAGAATTGTCATCACTTTTCCCCCCTATACCGCGCACCTGGTTGTAAATTTATTTTCACTCTGTTGGCTCCAAAATGTACTTTTTCAAAGAACTGAATAGGGATTTTTTTTAATTTACTTTACATAAATCAAGTTGACATAGTGAACATTGCAGCCATAGGTGTACTAACTAAAACAGTGTTGCCATCAGCATTCAGTATTTACAGAGCAAAAAGTGAAACACATTGGTAAAATTAAATGAATTAAGCACACAACTAGTTGAGCCCCACAATGCCTCATAAAGTACACGTAAGTACTCTCCAAAGACAAAACAAAAACAACAAAAAATCAAACCGAAATAGTAGAATTTTCAACATAATACAAAAGTTTTCATACAACTTGGAATTTTCACATTTTGTCATTATAAAACAACAAACTTCTTTGTAGTTCACTGGGATTTTACACAGTAGAACATGCAGTGTATATTGATGACCAAGAAGATAAAAGATGGATATTTTTTTACAAATAAAAATCATATAAATATGGTGGATGTGTTTGTGTACAATCTCCTTCACTCTGTTACAGCTAAATAAAAACCAGTGCAAACAACTTGCTCCTGATGTTATGTAATGAGTAAGCACAGTTCACATGTCTGTAGTTTCACCTCAGTGTAAGCAGAAAATATTCACAATGGATTTGACTTCTACAATATTCCAATAAATATTACAAGTGATTCCCACATTGGCAAACCAGCCAACACTTTAATGGTTAACTGGATGCCACAAAAAGACCTTTTAGGACATCCAAAGGTGAAACTATTTGTGGCTCATGGAGGAACAAATGGAGTCCAGGAGGCCATTTACCATGGAGTACCAATAGTGGGTTTACCTGTGTTTTATGACCAGTATGACAATCTTCTCCGACTGCAAGACAGAGGAGCGGCTAAGATCCTTACCTTAGCCACTATGGACAAAGAGGACACATTTCTGAAAACTGTCAAAGAAGTACTGTCTGAACCATCCTACAGGATTAACATGCAGAGACTCTCCAGATTGCACAGGGATCAGCCAATGAAGCCGATCGATACCGCCCTCTTCTGGATAGAATTTGCAATAAGACACCAAGGTGCAGCTCATCTGAGAACCGAGTCCCACAGACTGCCTTGGTATTCCTACTACTCTGTAGATGTTTTCCTGTTCTTCCTGTTTGTTGTTGCAGTGATTACATTTTCATTTGTCACGACTTTCAGATTGCTTTGTCT